TCCACCAAATTTGGGGGATCCCTTCAGCTCGAGGAGCCCTCTCGAACGCCACCCTCCGCGCGTCGGTAGCCCCCCGGGGTCGCTAGATCGGTCGGCGCCGGACCGTGAATTTAACCACCCGTAACTCCCGAACCCCGGGGGCTATCAACTCGGGGGTGGCCTCATTCGAAAGAGGGCCTCGAGACGTACACTCGATTCGCGTTCGAGAGGGTTCCTCGAGCTGAAGGGATCCCCCGAATTTGGTGCGGATTCGCCGCGCCGTTATGGAGATATGGCCGTTCAAAGTTTCCATGGTATTCCATAGACTTAAGCTTTAAAGCGTTTCATCCAGGTCGCCAGTAGCAGACAATGGAGCTCAGTCTGCTTATTCTGCCCTCGTTAAAGAGTTCCCCTTCTTAAACTAGGCAGATAGATAACTCCTTCCACAGGGACGTCGAATTGAAGCATGATTTATTATGACCACCTCTTCAAATATAATTGGAACAGAGTAAAAAGACAAAGCTTCTTTAAATGATTGCAAAGATGATGAAAAGATTGAAAATAGCTGCTTTAACCGTGTGACTATCACCATCAACTGAGTAAAACAAGATGGCTGCTATTAAGGTCAGAGGTTACTGTCGAAACATATAGAATAGCACCACCTAGTGGCTCAAAAATGAAACTACACTAAACTAAACTACACTGGAAACAGTACACTGCTGGAAAAACTACGTAATTACACCATTTACAAGCATTTTATCGGCGTTTTATGTTCTGTAAAAAAAATCGACGGCATATCGGCGGCATATTCGCTGATACCGATATATCTGCGACAGGCTCATATTGGCCGATAAAATCGGCAAAACGATATATCGGTTGGGCTCTAATTAATACGGTAATTTAAAGGGATAGTTCAGCCAAAAGCCCTAAGGCCATCCAAGATGTAGGTGACTTTTTTTTCTTTTTCTTTTTTTTTCAGCAGAACAGTAATGGAGATTTTTAGCTGAAACCGTGCTCCTTGGTGGTTCATAGAAGGCAAGTCACTGGCTGCCCGTTTTTGAGAATAAAAAAAGCATGACAGGCGACACAAAATGAATCCCCGTGGCTCCTGATGAAATATTGAGGTCTTATGAAGCAAAACGATCGGTCTGTTCAAGAAACTGAACATTATTCACAGCTTTATTATTACCTGTAATCCAGAGCCTCAGGCAAACGGGGAAATGCTATTCTTTTCCACAAACTAGTTCTTTCAGACAGTTTGATTCAGTGAACTGGTTCAAATAATGATGTCACATGCATGCAATTATATTATTAAAATGTTAAACAAATGATTTCTAAAGCATATAAAGTGAATAAACTAATCTTAATCAACTCACCTTTTTACATAGACTGCAGGGCTCGCAAAATTTCTAAATCCCTGGCAGTCCTTTGGGCAGGCATTCTTCAGATTTTGGTAGCTCAAAATGAATGTAACTAGCCCGAATAAAAAAAGACATTGGCTGAACTTCTCTGAGGACAAATCAGCATGATCAAAAACTTCAGAGATTGTATTTTTCTTCAGATAACGAGTCAAGAGAGTATCACAAATGATCACAAACTCACGGTTTGGATCATATTAAAGATTTTAAGTCACAGACAGATCTGGTAATTTTTTTATCAAAAAATGGTTCTTTATTATTCAAAGAACACTTATTATTTAAAGAAAAGTACTTCTTTCAGGGTTCGTACAGTCATGAAAAACCTGGAAAAGTCATGGAATTTTAAAACGGCAATTTCCAGGCCTGGAAAAGTTTTGGAAAAATAAATAAACCCAGGAAGTTTTGGAAAAGTCATGGAAATCTATTTCACAAATCTCTGTATAATAGAATTATGTTGAATCAGGTCCTGAATTTCGGTGCGGGATTGCGCATAGGCTATATCGCATAGTTTTACTCATTCCTGCAGCTTTTGACTTTTAAAATGATGGATAATCACACATTTATTCAATAGCCCTATAGCATGTATGTTTGAGGAGTAAATAAATCCACACGGACTATCAGATCAAATCAGTCTTTTAAAAACAGTGTGAATGATTCAGCTGTACCACGTCTTCTCTCTTTGACTTTCTCTTAAAACGGCTTCACATCGGCACATCTTGTCTGCATTTTCGTTTCTTTAAGTGAATTTGGAAATATGTTTGGAACATTTTTTGTTTGTTAAATTCACGTTTTTGTTTTTAAAGTAGCCTAACGACCAAGCGGCCAACGGCAGACAGTGAGTTAGCCAATGTTTGATCAATTTAGCCTTCTCAAATCATCACCACTTGACTAAAATAAAATCTATATATAAAATACTTTAAAAAGCGTGAATCCAATCATTTGTGCGCTGGACAGAAACACAAATACACACTGGATAGTTTGCACTCACGGATCGGTGCCTGTGAGCAAAACTAATAAAGGTAAACTGTCAGTAATAAAATAAGAGCAAATAAACTAATTACAAGCACAGATACATAAATTAGAACAACGTTACAAATGAAATAAGATCTAACATTGTTTCTTCACTGTTTGTTCACTTGAGGCATAACCGACTGTTTACAAGAACGCTTGCCGAGGCACTTATTTTAAGATCGTTTTGTGTGAATGTGTTCAAGCGAAAGAGGAATCAGTTCTGTGTTTGTGTGCTGTCTGAAACGCTGCTCTTGAATGAGTGCACACGAGGACCGGATTGAATTCTCTTTCACCTCTTCATGTGCTTGAGTGGATTAAAACGTTTCAATTGGCAACACGTGTGAATGATCAGCTACGATCCGGTTCACCCCACAAGCGCGAATCTTATATCACTAATCTAGATAGGTTAGAAACTTTAACTTTAGTTTGGTTTTGTTAGACTTCAATATGTCGTCAAGAGTCATGGCTATTATTTTTGCGTCGCCTATAAATGTGTTTTGACTCTCAAGTGACGGCAGCCATTGACTTGCATTTTATGAATCGCCAAGGAGCACGGTTTCATCTAAAAATCTTCTGTACTGTTCCAGTGAGTGCTCCAGAGGCTGAGTACAGTAACGGCACATTTTCCTTGTTGGGTGAACTGTCCCTTTAATATCTATAACCGTGTCATTCTGTAAAGCTCTAGCTAGCATGCAGGATTGTCCTAGACACTTCAACAATCTGGCTGATCAGTTATCCAGAACTGTAGCTTCATTTGTCAAGTCACGTGTGTTTCAGTAGCACTTTACACAAAGCAGCTTCACACAGAAGCAGGAAATAACACGATCAGTGATGCAAACGTAATCAAATAGGAAAGCAGCTCTACAGAAGACTATAGTGTCATCATTCAGCTCAGTTTAGGTTTGTTCTCATCTATGCGTTCAAATCAGTAATATTACTGGCTATAATGTGTCTTTTAAAGCCCAGCAGAGCAGGTGAAGGCTCTCTGACTGCACGAGGACACAGTCTCACACACTGGTGTCCTGTGATGAGCAGCGTCTCGGTGCTGAAGGCCTCTGTGTGTGTGTGTGTTTGTGTGTTGCAGGTGTTCGTGTGCGGCGTGGTGTTCTGCAGTCAGGCGCAGCTGCAGGAGCGGGGGAAGATGGCCTGCTCTCAGCCGCACGAGCCGCGCTGTCTGCCGCTGCACATCATGAAGCTGCTGTCGTCTGACAGACAGAGAGAGTGGTGGGATGCTGTGTACAGCCTGATTCACAAGAGAGCGCAGTGAGTGACTCCTCGTGTGTGTGTGTGTGTGTGTGTGTGTGTGTAACGTCATGTGTTCCTGACTGCAGTGTGTGTGTGTGACTCAGGCCCGGGACGTCTGCTAAACTGCGTCTGCTCGTGCAGCACTGTCTGGGCACGCTGCGCGCCGGAGAGAAACACGGCCTGCAGCCGGCGCTGCTCATACACTGGGCTAAACACCTGACTGACGCGGTACGTCCTGACCACCTGCACCTCATACAGATCATTCCTCACACAGCGTGGCTGTAAAAGCTCATGCAGTCTGCTGAGGGCAGGAGTTATCATTGGGTTCACATGTATTCATATACTTCAGCGCTTTTGGCCACATCTTAGAGTGCTAGTAACACTTTCTGCAACAGTTTCTCTTTCTTTAAAAAGTCTTGCCCTCCACAAATTAAGTTTGCATGCACTCCTTCATCAGTGTTTTTGTCTTGCTTTCTAACACAAATATCTACACATCCTTAATTCAAGATACTTTTACTTGAGATGTAATGTAAAATTAAGTCTTGAGAAATTGAACAAAACTAAGTGAGTTTATGATAAAACAAGAACAAATATGTCAATGAAATTAAAATGTTTTCCCTTTGAATTAAGTGGGTTTCTTCTGAGCCCATAGGAGATATTTGTTCATAAACTCACTTCATTTTGAGCTAATTTTCTAGAAAACAAGACTTCTTCCTTTATGTAACTTTCCTTCTCAAGGAAAGGTGTCTTGATTTAAGAATCTTTAGACATTTGCACTGGAAAAACAAGACAAAAACACAGAGGAAGAACTTTTTTCTCTCTCTCTATGATCAGAAGAAAGGTAATTTCTATATTCTGGTGACTGTGAGCAGAGATATTTAAACCTAAATCTTTTTTTGTAAAATGGATTAAAAAGTAATGGAGATTTGTTGGAAGTATTTTCCACTTTAAAATGTTGCTAATACCTCTCATTGTGTTTCTCCAAGGATTTACATTTAACAAACATTGACACATTATGTTCCCTTCAGATTATTCCTTTCATTGCCTTTACTTGGTCTTAAGAAGAACTTGCGGTGTTAAATGTGCCCTGTGTGTGCGTGTGTGTGTGCGTGTGCGTGTGTGCGTGCGTGTGTGTGTGCGTGCATGCGTCTGTGTCTGTGCGCGTGTGTGTGTGTGTCTGTGCGCGTGTGTGTGTGTGTCTGTGTGCGTGTCTGTGTGCGTGTGTGTGTGTCTGTGTGCGTGTGTGTGTGTCTGTGTGTCTGTGCGCGTGTGTGCGTGTGTCTGTGTGTGTGTGCGCGTGTGTGCGTGTTGGTGACTGTGAGCAGAGATATTTAAACCTAAATCTTTTTTTGTAAAATGGATTAAAAAGTAATGGAGATTTGTTGGAAGTATTTTCCACTTTAAAATGTTGCTAATACCTCTCATTGTGTTTCTCCAAGGATTTACATTTAACAAACATTGACACATTATGTTCCCTTCAGATTATTCCTTTCATTGCCTTTACTTGGTCTTAAGAAGAACTTGCGGTGTTAAATGTGCCCTGTGTGTGCGTGTGTGTGTGCGTGTGCGTGTGTGCGTGCGTGTGTGTGTGCGTGCATGCGTCTGTGTCTGTGCGCGTGTGTGTGTGTGTCTGTGCGCGTGTGTGTGTGTGTCTGTGTGCGTGTCTGTGTGCGTGTGTGTGTGTCTGTGTGCGTGTGTGTGTGTCTGTGCGCGTGCGTGCGTGTGTGTGTGTGTGTCAGGCTCAGCGGGTGAACTCCTACTACGATCAGAAGGAGTATGCTAGCCGCAGTGTGCACTACTGGAGGGTTGTGCTCCCCCTGCTGGAGAAGGTCCAACACAAACGCAGCATCCCTGAACCCCTGCAGCCCATGTTCATGCACTTTCAGAGCAGAGACATACAGGTATCTCCGTTACTTCAGTGCTTTGGCTGCTGGGATGTGCGTGGCTTCCTGCTGCGGTCTTTGTTTTCTGTTACTCTGTCGTCTCTAATGATCTTTTGGACGTTAGCCCTCTCAGGTGCGAGTGTATGAGGAAGATGCGGTCATAAGCTTCGCCACACTCCTTGACATCGAGGGCAACACAGAGGAGGCCATCGTGAAGCTGGAGCAGCTCAACAGCGTCTCGTCTAACTGGCATCTGGCGAAGGTAACTGTGCAGTCACACTGACTCAGCTTCAGCTCATCAGCAGCTCCGTCTGAAGGAGCTAGCGCTGTGTCTGACAGCTTTTGACGTGTCTCATGTGTTGATTGCCAGATCTATCAGAGGCTGTCGGAGGAGGCAGGGAACGGGCTTGAGGAAACTCAGGGCAGGTGCACCAGCTTCCTCCTGAAGTTCAGGAAATACTTGGCCAAGATTTATCAGGCCAATGCAGAGGATATGGAGAAGGTATGTGCAACACACCACTGACTCCCTCGTATGGTCTCTGTGCTGCTCTCTTTATTTACACAAGTGGCCATGGCAGGACAGTTTTTAGTGCTGTTTGTATTAAACCTCTCAGACTCTCTAGGGCTCAGAAGATGCTTTTCAAAAGCACTGCATTCCTCATGTTCACTCAGATTCAACAACTAGAGCAGCATGCAGCCCAGATCTCATATACTAGGGGTTGAACGATCTCTGATTTTTTGAAGTCGACTTTTATGTGATGAAAGTCGAGTCGAAGTCGACTAGTCGCTGATGACGTCATTAATGAACAAATAAGTCTGGAGCTGTGACAAACAGCTTGTGCACAGCTATGGCATAAGACACAGCGCTGCCCACGGCTGTTGCTCCTGTAACAGCTCTTTTATCAGTTCTTTTGTCTTTGGGTCGTTATATTTCTCACAGATTTCTGCTCGTTCTAAATCAGATACAGATAAAGAAGCACAGTAAAGATTACATTTATATGAATGCATTAGTGAGAGCGATTGCGTGTGTGAATTAATTCTACCTGGCAGCGTCTCTCTACTAGTAGTGAAGCTGTGTAAATGTGGAAGTCCTTCACAGATTTCTTATCATGTTGCGCCCCCTATAGGACCAGTGACTAGTCGACGTCAAGCTTAAAGCGTCATGGCAGAGCATTGAAGTCGATTAGTCGGTGCAACCCCTAATATATACACCGGTCTCCTTGCATATGGAGATGTGTGCGATACACCGATTGAAAGAAGGTTGTAGTCAGATGTTTTGAAAGTGTATCAAATTTTTGATCACTGCTACTTAGGAAATTGTTTTGAGGACTGTTGCTTTTTCATCAGTGTTTGTAATCACATTTCCATAATGTGTCTATATATTGTGTTTTTGTTTTGTTTGTTTTTTTGTGATCAGCCACGGTTTTAAGAATATTGTGACACAAATCTTTGCTCATGGTCACCGCTGGCATGTCTGTCTGTGTGTTTGTGAAGTTACCGGTGTCTATGGAGGAGGTGATGGATTTGTTGAATGAGGTCAGCCAGCAGCTTGAAGATGTTGGTGAGATGTGTGAAGATCAGGTGGACTATCCTGTGACATCCAGCCCCGGGCAGCCCGCTGAAGGCCATGTCAAATTCTCCACTCCTTCCCCATCCAAGAGTGTGACGTCTCCGTCCAAAAGATCTGTGGTACGTCACGGCTCAGGTGTTTGTGCTCAGACTCTGTGTGCTGTTTACTGCTGCTGATTGTCTCTGTCTCCCTCCTGCAGTTCTCCCCCAAAACACCTCCTCACTGGGTGGAGGACCAGAAGTCACTGCTGCAGATGTTATGCCAGCAGGTCGAGGCCTTGAAGGTCAGTCCGACACCAACAGCTGCTGAAGAATCCATCACTTTCTTTGCTTTTGTTTTGGCACCGAGTGAATTTACCTTCCGAGCGTTATTTTGATTGTTTTATCTGTGGTTTTGTCTGTTCTGCATGTCAAAAGTTATTCAAAAAGGCATTGTTTAATTGTGGAGCGAAGAACACAGAGAGATTGAACAGTTTGAGCAAGAGCGCTGTAGACTTGAGTCCACGCTCCCAGTTCAGAGCCAGACTGCAGGACGTTTACTTGCACTAATGCACACAAGCTTAGATGCTTTCTGAATCCAGTGATAATCATAAGAAAAAACAACGCTGATAGCTAGAATGTTAGACTCGTGGTGCTGTTCATAAGACATAAGACTATAAATGAAAACGCTTCCTTCATAATGACTGAAGCTCACTCACTTCATTTCAGCGTGAGTTCACTCTTGCCAGAACTCCCGTTATTATTGAAACTAATGCACTCAACCTCTTGCTCACATCATGTCTTTGTACAGAAGCGCACTGAACACAGTTTGATGAACGGTTGATGAACTTAACTGCCTCCGATTGGCTGTTGCGTTCTTGTCCTCAACAGACATGTCTGTGATTGTCTGCAGTGCTCAATGCTGCGAAACGCATTGTAAATGGAAACTATTGCACTCATAAATACACGCAGGAGTGTTTGAAAGCAGCCGGCTGTCAGCGGCAGCCAAACTGAGTCTGTATTGCCAATAATGCAGAAACACTGGTATCAGCACATTTTAATGATTTCACAATCACCTGACAACTCTAGCTAAAGCTTTAAAAAGCATAGTTACCTTTCTGGCTGTTTTTTATGTCTTCTGTTGAATAATCCATGTTTTTATCACTTTAAGATGTACCAAGATGTATCGTTTAGAGAGGACTCAGTGGAATATATGCCCATAAACGTGCTGGATGGTGTTTGAAGTGCTGAAGTAGATGAAATGTGTCCATAAAGCCTTTAAACACACACTGCACTGATCGATCTCATGCACCAGCCAGTGCTGTGATTGGATTAGCGCTCATGAATGACTCTGTTCTGATTTTATACTACACGTCACATCAAATTATGTGTGATGTGAAACCTTTTTCAATTATCTGCAAATGAAATAGTCACACTGACCAAAGGAAAAATAAAACCTTGCTTTGTTTGGTGAACAGTTTCATCAAACATTCTCTGTCAGTGTGAAAAGGGACAGGTACCAGCTGAGAACAAGTGTTTTGGAAACTCATTTTTGATGTTTTATTTTTCGTCTCACGCAGAATGAGGTTCATGACCTGCGCCATAACTCTTCAGATGCCACGGCATCCTCGTATAGGATGCATAGAGACAATTATGCTGCAGAAGGACTTCAGGAAACATTTCCTGCGGCGCAGACACTCCACGGTGTTCCTCTCACTGGTCAGTTCAATGACTTCCCCAGATCAGCAGTCTTTGATTGAAATTGTAAGTGTATACTAGTGGTTCTCAAAGTGTACCCCCCCCCCCCAAAGCTTT